TTTCAAGTATGTTGACCAGAGAGGTGCTGTTTGTCGGTTGCAAAAATGTGTTTTTGGCATTGGCCAAACCAAGACTATGATAATTGTGAAATAATTACATTTTTTTCTAGTCTTTAATGAAATAGAACAGTGTTTGATTGAGTCAAATATTCTATATTTAGAAGTGTAAGGCAGAATGAACAAAGGTTATGTTGTATAAACTGGACGGTCGAGGACCTCTGTGTCGTCCCACACTCTGCCAGCTGGGATTGTCAGCAGGTCCCGTGACCCTCATTAGGATTAGCCCTAAAGGTGAGATAAGGAATGGACGGATAATATCTTCAGAGCAGCTGCTCGTGAGTGCAGCAGAGTTTGAAAAACACATGAGAAAATTGAGGTGAAGTTCTGAGTGTGTTTCTGATCAAACAACAACATTAAACTGACACTCGCTGCTTTTTTACAGCTTCACTTTACAAAAGAGAGACAGAGAGAAATATTTGGTTTGCACCAGTATTTGAGAAGTGACTTGTACTTTTGTCAAGTTCTGCTTTTACAGATAACGGCAAAGATACTGAGCTGTGTTTGAATGATAACCTGAAGCTGGTGAATGCTGAACTTCCTTGTGACCTGGGGTGTTGACATCCTGTGTTCAGGCGTTCTTTTGTGAGTCATTGTGACTGAAGTGAACTGTTCATACAGTCTATGATCAAACTGGATTGGATTGATTGATTATCCCTCGTTCTTTGTTGTCAATTATGCATTAAAGGTCAGAAGATTAAAAAGGTCTCATAAATATTGTCTAGAAAGAGTTGGAGTGAAAATGATCAGTTTAAGGAGAACTCCAGAAGATAACTGGTCACAGCTGATCACTGCAAAAATGGTCTATCTATATATAAACAGTATATGGGTCTATTTATGTTCTATGTTGTCCTTTTTTTAATTTAATTGCACTAAAATTCTCTGTTTGTCACGGAGGAGGCGCTAAGGTCAACATTCAGATGAAGATATTGACCTGATGGACAAAGCTAAATTCAAACAACAGATTCACAAAAGTGCATTCACTCAATTTCACACACACACACAAAAAAACAGTTCTAGGGACTGACCGCCTTAATGGGCAGTTTGGTAGAAAGTGTTTGACCCTCTGATGGTCACGAGGTCTCCGAGCCGCGGTGTTCCTCACAGTGCCGGCTTTCATTAACTCCACAGACCTTGTGATCCCTCAGAGGTTGGAAAGCAATGATTGCATGCACTTACACACACACACACACAAAGACACACAAAGATATCACATTCCTCCTTTTTCATGGTTTCGAGGGCCTGGGGAATGTGAAGGTGCAACGAGTTCAAGCGTCTGAACTTTGGTTAACTTGACTTGACAAAAAAACAGAAGAAGAACTTCACACTTTTAGATTAATTAATGAAAAATCAAATCGTTGTTGTACCTCGCGCTGTCACAACTTCCTTTTGTTTTCCGTCACAAATCTCGGTGGGATTTTTCACTGACAGCCGAAGAAAACGCTCAGTAATTCAGTAAAGCCGTCTTTGCGTGTGACGCCAATTATTCTTGACCCTGACGATGATGTCTGCTTTCAAACCCAACAAACTGGGACATGCCAAAACCAATCCTGATTTGAAGTCAGAACAAACAGCGCGTAGGTTTGTGCGTGTCACCTGTGTTTGTGTGACTGGAGCCAGCAGAGGAAAAAAGCCTTGGAAATCGGAGGCACAAATTGTCGAGCGAGGAAGTCCCCAGTGGTGAGTTTATTTCCCATTAGAGCCTCTCAGGAGAATCTCAAAAAAAAAAAAAAAAAAAACTGTGTTACACCAACTAAAAACTCTGCTCCCTGAAGATGTTGCTGTCCTTATTACACAAAATGCCAAAATTCCCAGTGCGTCGGAAAAAAAACAACAAGGTTTTTTTACTACAGTAGCTTTTCCCGAAAGTCTCGAAAAACAGATGGAACCACGAACGAGTCGAACTGTAGGTGTTAATGTAAACAGGAACGACTGAAGTCCCACCGTGTTGAATCCAAGTCCCTTATTCATCCAACCATGGGGGAAAATTCACAGTGTGAGTCGATGCAACCCACGCAGGCTGCCACACAGGGGGCGCCGTTAAGTATGTGGTTCCTCTGGGGCTCAAACCCACTATTGGAACCGAGCTTCATTTCAAAGTCACCAGCTGTGGTTCGTAGCAGCTGCGGGTGGGTTTCTGTGTTCATTTTCATAGTCTCTGCCTCGAGAACAGAGAGTCCTGGGTTCGATTCCCAGAGGAACCACACACGTGCCGCCTGCCAGGGGCAGAATGGTTCTTTTTTTTTTTTTTAACCGGAGCAGTGGTGGCTTGGTGGTTAAGGAAGCAGACCTTGGGTTGGAAGGTTTCAGGTTCGACTCCTCCATCTGCCAAGTTACCACTGAGCATGGCACTGTCCCCACACGCTGCTCCCCGGTCACATTTGGTTGTGTGCAGTGGTGCAGTGGTGTGTCACAGTAGTTCACTTTCATTTCCTTTCCTTGTTTTTAGTCTTGGCTCTGTGGGTCAGAAATATTAAAAAGTTTGCGATAACTGTTGGCTCTTTGCCTCGTTGTTCAACTTTAACAGTCCATC